GAGGGAAGGAAGGAACGAAGGAAGGAAGGAAGGAAGGAAGGAACGAAGGAAGGAACGAAGGAATGAAGGAAGGAAATAGTCTGGGGATCTATAATCCTTTGTAGATACACACATTGAGAGAGAAGGTAGGGATAGAAGTTCCTGAGTATGGCTTACCAGAGCATTTCCTTAAGTAGATTGAACAAGTTTCCCATTTGCAATTTGAAACCCCTAAGCAGAGGTGAGACGATGAGCAGATAGTTACAAAATATACTTGCTTAATTACAATTTATACTCCATAGTCCTATGCTTGTGTTTTTTTTTCAGAATGGAAGTTACTTAAAAGATGTTAGTTGAGTTTAGCCATTCTGATAAGAGCAAGATGGTATCTCAGAGTTGTTTTGATTTGCATTTCCCTGATGGCTAAGAATGTTGAACACTTTGTTTTAAGTGTCTTTCGGTCATTTTACATTCCTCTATTGAGAATTCTCTACTTAGTTCTGTACCCCAATTTTAATTGGATTATTTGTTTTGGTCACTAGCTTCTTGAGTTCTTTGTATATATTAGAAATCAGCCCTCTGTCAGATGTGGGATTGGTGAATATCTTTTCCCATTCTGTGGGCTGCTGTTTTGTTATGTTGACTATGTCCTTAGCCTTACAGAAGCAACTCAGTTTCAGGAGATCCCATTTATTAATTGTCAGTCTATGATACTAATGTTATGTTCAGGAAACAGTCTCCTTTACCAATTCATTCAAGGGTACCAGCTCACTTTCTCCTCTAAGAGATTCAGTGTGGCTGGATTTATATTGAGGTCTTTGATTCATTAGGACTTAAGTTTTGTGCATGGCGTGGATAAGGATCTATCTGCAGTCTTCTACAAACTAGTATCCAGTTATGCAGCACCATTTGTTGAACATGCTTTCTTTTTTCCGTTGTATAATTGTAGCTGCTTTGTCAAAAATCAGGTCTTTATAGGTGTGTAGGTTAATATCAGGGTTTTCTATTTGATTCCATTGGTTTACATGACACTTTATGCTTGAGAGGATATGAAGAAAGGAGTGCACTCCTCCATGCTGGTGGGAGTGCAAACTTGTACAGCCATTTTGGAGATCAGTATGGCAGTTCCTCAGGAAAATGGGTATCAGTCTCCCACAGGATCCAGTAATTCTACTCTGAGGCATACACCCAAAAGATGCACAACCATGCAACAAACACATCTGTTCAACTATGTTCATAGCAGCATTATTTGTAATAGCTAGAAACTGGAAACAACCAAGATGCCCCTCAACTGAAAAATGGATAAAGAAAGTGTGGTACATTTACACAATGGAGTACTACTCAGCGGGGGGGGGGGGGAAGAGGCAATGGAATCTTGAAATTTACAGGCAAACGATTGGAACTAGAAGAAACCATCCTGAGTGTAACCCAGTCACAAAAAGACAAATGTAGTATGTACTCACTCATTTATGGATTTTAGACATAGAGCAAAGGATCGCCAGCCTATAATTCACACCACCAGAGAAGCTAGGAAACAAGAAGAACCCTAACAGAGACATATATTGTCCCCCACAGAAGGAATAAGGGACAAGATCTCCTGAGCAAATTGGGAGGGGGGATTCTGGGGGCAGTGAGTGGAGAGGGAGTTAAGAGAAAAAGAAATGGAGAAGAGGAGGGGAGAGGAGAAATGAGGAAGCAGAAAGATTGAGTTTGGAGAGGAATAGAGGAGAGCAAGAAAAGAGATATCATAAAAGAGGGAGCCATTATAGGTTTAAAGATAAATCTGGCACTAGAGAAATGTCCAAATCTACAAGGATGAATCCAACTAACAATCTAAGCAATAGTAAAGAGGCTACCTTAAATTCCCTTCCCTGATAATGAGATTGATGACTACCTAACATGCCATGCTAGATCTTTCATGTAGTGACTGATGGAAGCAAAAGCAGACACCGACAGCTAAACACTGACCCGAACTCCTGGAACCCACTTGCAGAGAGGGAGAAGTGATGAGCAAAGGGGTCAAAACAGGCTGGAGAAACCTGCAGAAACAGCTGACCTGAACAAGGGGGAGCTCATGGACCCCAGACTGATAGCTGGGAAACCAGCATAGAACCAACCCAGACCCCCTGAAAGTGGGTCTCAGTTAAGAGGCCTGGGCAGTCTGTGGGACCTCTGACAGTAGAACCAGGATGAATCCCAGGACTTCAGGAACCCACTCACCATGGAGGGATACTCCCTTAGCCTAGAGCCACAGAGGAGGGCCTTGGCCCTACTGCAAATGACTAAACAGATTTTGATGATCCCTCATGGAAGGCCTCACCCTCCCTGGGGAGAGGATGGGATGGTGGGGTCAGTGGGGTGCATGGGAAGATGGGAGAAAAAGGGAACTGGGATTTATATGTAAAATTTTAAAATATTAAATAATAAATAAAAATATGTCAGCTGACAATAATTTCATATAATTTTTTCATTACTAAAATTCTAGTTTAGAAATATTTGCTGTTTTGAAGACTGTTATAAATGAGAATCTTCAGGGAGTCAGAACCATGGTCTAAGTGCCAGGGAATCTCAGACACTAGTGGGTGGATAGCTTTATTATGGGTCCATTTTGGTTTGAGTTTTCTTTAAGGGTTTCCATCTGTGACCACAGTGTTGTCTCCAGTCAATGCTCTGCTTGTTCATAGCATCATTTCTGGAAAAGTATAAAATCATTTATTTATTTAATCCATGAAAAATGTTTACAGAACACACACACACACAAATTCAGTTGAATTGTTTTTCTGTTGTTGTACACCAATTCACCACCCACTCAGAGGCTGACACCATTGCCTGTTCATTAGCTCCAGGTTTCCTGGATCGAAGACCCAGGGCTTGGCTAACCTCTCTCCTAAGTCTTCCAAGGCTGAAATCAAGGTGTCAACCAATCCAGGCAAGGGCTCAGTGAGGAGCTTTTGCAAAAGAATCTACTTTCAAACTCGTCCATGTTACTGTCTAAACTTGGATCCTCAGTAGAGCTGACCATATTGGAGTGAGCCAGCTCTGGTGGCTTAAGAGGAGGATAGATGTCCATGCCTACTTTCACCATGTGGTGCAAGCAAGTAAAAAATACCCTCCCCATCACACCTGACTCCTGTGGCAGCCAAGGGAGCTGACTCCCCCCTCTACCAGCTGCAGAACTTAGAAAAGTTGGCCCTGCACCTCAGCTGGGCATCATAGTAGAGCTGACCCTATTGATCAGTGTGGGTGTGCAGGTGAACCAGAACTGAGAATGGGAGCTTGGGAGATCTGGCCCTGCCCCTCATCTGTCACATGGTGGCACAGGAAGGGGGAGAGGTGCCACACCCTCGATGCCTGTGGTGGGTATGAGAGGTGGCCTGGAGATCATAAAAACAGGAAAGCTGTCCCTGACCCTCACCAGCTGCAGAACTCTGGAGAAGGGACCAAGCACCTGGCCAGGGCAACACAGTAGAACTGGGCCTGCTGGTATAGGTGTGGGAGAGCCTACCCTGAGGACATGAAAGCAGAACTGGTTCCTTCCCTGCAAAGGATGAACAGCCAGGGCAATGCCAGAGAGCTCACCCTGGTCATGAGGACGGAGAGAGCTGGAGGGCTGACCAACCCTGAAACTACCCATGTCTAGAACTATGGTTATGACTTGGCACACCCCAACATCCACCCAATCTATGAACTGCTGGAGCAAGTGAAGGTGCCAGTCTGGATGATCTAAAGCTGCAGGATCTCCATGACACAAAAAAACAATAGGGTATCCAAGAGGAGTTCCAATAAGGGCCCAGTACCACAGACAGGAATTCTGAATCTTCTTTGAATCCCCCATGACAGCGCCCCTTACCAGCAGGAAGTAGTTTGGAAAGAACAACGCCCAAATTCCCAAATATTGTCTATAAATGTTTGTTTTCATTTAAATGGACTTTGTTATATAAAATAAATTAAAAACATTTAAAAAAAATAAGGGCCCAGTATCAACAACAATAGAGCAGAAACCAGAGGCCTGGAGCCAGACCAATGACTCTTTGCAATGAACTCTTACCAATAAAGATATGTGGATGAGAGTAAGGTGTGTGACATACTGTGTCACACTACAGCTTCCATGATGAGATTTTTCTTTCTTTATTTCTTCTGTTTTTCTCTCTCTCTCAAATTGCATTTTATTTTGTTTTGGGGGAGAAGGTACAAGAGCAGAGGGTGAATACAAAGGGACAGGGAGATGAATGGGATTAGACACATGATGTGAAAGACACAAAAAATTTAAAAAATAGTATTCTAACATGTATATGGAAATGCAAAAGAACTAGAATAATAAAAACACTAAAAAATTAATTACAAAAAACCCTCAGATCCTTATAGTTATAGAAGTAAAGTCCTGTTTTCATATTATCAGCTATTCAAAAGTCACAGTCTTGGAGAGCTCCTGAAATTCTTCTCAGTGACCCTCCTTTTTAAAAATCCCTATGGGGTAGGGAATTTCTACCCAGTAACCCTTCCCTTCGAACTTTGAATCTCTGACTTTCTCTTCTGTTGTCAGCAAAAGAAACTCTGCTTTCAGAGGGTTCACATGATTTGATCAGCATGCTGTATCACCTTCTCATCTAGAAGTAAATCATGCTTTTATCATATGCTAACTCTAGGAGCAAAACCCACATGTCCATCATCCCATGAAGTCATGGTCTCATCTTAGGTCCTGCCTTTCATACCAGCTTTGCTTCTTCTAGAGACAGAATTTAATTGTGGAAGCACGGTCCTAAGGTTGTGTGTTGTCAAGATCGGCCATTTGCTGTTTGTGGAACTATAAATTCTTAATAGCATATGTGCTGCTGCATCAAGTACATACCACCTAATTTTTCAATGGCAATCTGTGTTCAACCAGAACTGTTTCCATTTTATTTTAGTGTTTTCATTGTATTGTCCAATTGCAAAAAGGAGAAATTAGTAATCTTGAATAATCAAGGAAAAGAAAATATGTATCTCCTTGGGGACTAATTTCCTTTTTATTCCTTGTTTAGCTTTAAGAACAAACTGCTTGAAGGCTCAATTATAAATGGAAATGCTGATGCCCAGCTACACAACCTGGTGGAAAGGATGCAACAAAAGACTGCCCTCTACAAGAGAGAACTGACAGAGGGAGAGTATTCACCCTCGTCAGGAGCCAGCCCTCATACAGGTCAGTCTTATTCCCTCAAAATACTAACCAGGAGAAGGTATAAGGGAGTGTGTATTTGAACAACTATTAAGTTTCAGTCCCAGAAAAGCAGATCTTGAGACAGTAATTTTAGAAACATTAATTTATTTTGAGAGTAATTCAAAGAGCTGAGAGTAGCAAGAAGCGACCCAGAAGGAAATTAAGTTGAAGATGTATTAGTGTGCTTGATACAGCAGAAAAATATGAGTAACTACAAGTAAAGAAGAGGAGTTAGGGAGTAGTTCAGTAGCTAAAGTAATTGCTTTGCAAGAATGAGGACCTGATTTCAGTCAGCAGAATCCACATTAATACACACATACACACACACATGCAGGCACATACGCACACAGTGTGGAGCATAGTCTTCATTTGAGTTCAAAGGAAGTGGAGACAAGTAGGTCCTTGGGGCTCACTGACCAGCATGCCTTGCTCACTTGGTGACTTTTAGGCCATAGAAGATTCTGTCTCAAAAAGAAATGCAGAACATGTCCCAACTTTATCATCTGGCTCCACATTCACACACATAATGCACACCCATACATACATTTGCAGCCACATACAAATGAACACTCATACACATATACAAAAATGGATGGGATAGACAAAATACTCAGTACTAGAGTACAAGCCCAGCTTGTGCAAAGACACAAGCTTAGTCTCCAACACCAAAAAACAAATAAATACAACCAGAAAAGCACAAGGAATAAAAAAAGAAAAATAGATAAAGTGGGTATCATAAAAATTCTAGCAAAGTGTCTAAGTTGACAGGCTGCTTGCCTAGAATACACAAAGCCCTGGGTTTGATTACTAGCACTGTATAGCCAGGTGTATAATTGCAGCACTGGGGCGGGGATGTAGGGGCAAGAAACTCAGTAGCTTGAAGCTACCCTCAGTCTTATAGCCAGTTTGAAGGCAGCCTGAGATATATAAAAGGTGTCTCAGTAGATAAAAGCCACTTGCTGCATAGCCTGACAACCTGAATTCAGATCCTCAGATCCTATGTGAAAAGCTGGAGGTAGTAGCATGTATCTGTAACCCTAGCACTCCTACAGCAACATAGAAGACATAGACAGAAGAATCATCCAGAAGTTCACAGGACAGTTAGCCTCAAGGGCTAAGTAACAAAAACAAGAGAGGGCCTGCTGCAAAACAAAATAGAAGGCAAAACCTGATTCCCAAAACTTATCCTCTGACTTCTATACACACATCATTGCAGGTGCACACCCATGCTCACATAGATCATATACAACAAAAACATAAGGAAAGAAAGAGGAGCACGTCAGGAGGAGGGACAAGACACAAAGCCTGGTTGTTCCTGGAGCATATTCTTGACTGCCTTGAACCTGTAACAACTTGCTCAAGAAAACTTTGAGATGGAAAAAAGCATAGTAAGCCCATATAAGGTGATCTCTAGGCCCAGACTATATGCAGAAGCCACCAACTATACCTGCTACAAGTGCTATTGTTAATATTAAACAGTACCCGTATTGTACAAAATGCAGATTACACAATATAAAAATAATAATGGAGAAAGGGGAGATTAAAAAACAGTCACCTGATGGAAGGACAATTATCAATGTTCTCAGTGATTACAGAAACATGGGTATAAAAAATAATAAGAACAATGGAGCCAAAAACAATTTACATTATGATTGATATTCTTCAGTATTTAATGGGAATAAGAAGAAAAATGAATGCCTAAGAACAGATAAAAGTCTAATTATAATGAAATGGAATAAAATTGAGGAAATCTGTGTTTTAAAAGCATACTATGCATTATACAGTAGTTAATATTTGAGGAGATAAGATTGAAATGAATCAAAGTTTTATAAATACATATTGAAAACAATATTTTGAAACTTGTTTACTCATAACTCAAAGGACATATATATATATGTACATATATAATGTGTTGTAACTTCAAAGTAAACCCTGTGAGCTGGGAAACATTTGATCTGAGATGCCTTGTGAATTTTAAACTGCTATTTCCCAAATTTCAGGGTTTTGATTCATTTTACTCAGCATTTTTCATATATATCACAGTTTTATTTCATTTTGTACATATTTAGGAGTACAACATGATATTTTATAATACATATAGAAAATAAAAGTGTAGTGAGGTAGTCCTTCTGTAGCACTGACCACGCCCATTGGGGGGTGGAGCTATGGGCGGAGGTGACCTGAGGAAGGAGGTCGGAGGGGGCCAGGAAGGCGCTCTCTTTCTGGCGTGACTCGGACAGGAGAGGATCGGGTTGAATTTCCTGGTGTTCATCTGTCTAGGTTGTAAGTTATTTCTCCCTGAATAAACATCTATTCGGCTTATTTGTTTATCCTGATCCTTATTTACCGCAATACATACATACATATATATCTTATATGTACTATAGATATATTCAATAGGAAGCTGTAAGTATGATCCCATATGGCTTTGGAGTTGGATTTGGCTTTCCTTCTCTAAATTCAATCATGTTGTTAAGATTAAATTCATGGTTTCTGCCTTAAATCAAGAAGCCAATTGGTGTAAGGCAAAAGAAACAAAATCTGGGGACTCATATCTTATGCAATTTTCTCTCTGAAATCCTAATTTTCTCACATACTTTTTAATGCTTATTGTTGTCTTTCCCTAATGCATACCTTAAAACTTGAAAATTTTACTTTAATATTGATGTGTAACTTTTCCACAAGGAATAATAATGATTCCTAACAGCAGTCTTTGAACTTTCTGGAAAGAAGATGGGGCCCCACATCATCATTTCCACTTGACTCAACCTGATGCATCGGAACTACAAACATCACCCTAAAACCGGTTTGAGACTGTTTTGCTCGAGACAACTCATGACTAGCTAGCTGTAATGGTGCACCTTTTTATTACACCCTGGCCAGTTTCAAATAGAACTACAGTCAAGAATTTTCTGCCACACAGTGACTAACTACATATGTCACAGCCAGTTCTGTTGAGAAATTTGGTTGCTAAAAATTTTCTTCCTACAGGATCCATTGGAGCAATCATCGTCCCATTTCAGCAGGAAGTAATCTTAATATGACTACGCCCCCTTTCCCTACCCTTGGAAATTTGGGATAATAGTCATCGTCTTTGGGTTGGTTTTAGTTATTTGGGATTGGGTGATGCTTACACTCGGGTTTATCTTTTAGACAGGAATAGGGAATGGTGGGTAAAGGTATGGTTTAGATGGGATATAAGTAGATTAGCCTATTTCCTTGAGAATTTGAGTATGAATGAGATAGTATTTTACAGCTTACATTGTTATGTATTCCTATGTGGTAAGCTATGTAAAATTAAGTTTATATTTTGTTATATTGTGTTAAATGTTTCCACTTATAATATTTATGCACATTATTTTTTACCATATTCTATGTATGCATACTTTTCTTGTGTTCAAGACATTTTGTATATTGATACAATTTGGGATATTTATCTTGCTGCCCTTTATAGTTCTACCTCTTGTCTTGACACTTATACTCTACCTCTATTTTAGGGATTTACATGTAGGTACATGTAAATAGTTATATTGTTTAAGTATTTGTTCCTGCTTTACTCAGGAAAGTTTTAATCAGTCTTTTTAGCTAAGTTCCCGAGTATTACAGATTATCTTCACTCACATTTCCTGTACCTATGAGATTAGTCAGATATAGATGCTTAATCTTCAATCCTTCATAGACATGCAGAACATGGCATTTAAATGTTTTAATATTAGTACTCCATTGACATGAGACACTGTTGCTCCTGACAGCACCGTGCATTTTCCCGAAAATATGTTGGACACTGTTGTTGCTCCTGCTGGAGTTCAATCTCGCCTCAGCTAATGGCCTGTTGGGCATAGAATTGCCCCCACCTTGACCACTGATTTGGACATGCAGTCCTATGTGCTTGCAGGAGACAAATATAGAAGACTGCTTGACCTTGCCAAGTCAGGGTAAGACAGCCATTCTATTTCCCTGCTGTTGTTGTGGTCTGTCAAGTTCTCTTGGCCTTAGCCAAATCTGGGTGTACCAACGTCGCTGTGAGACCTAGGGTGACTGTTCAGGTGGCTTGCTGTTTCTGTCCTTGCTGCACCGTTTTTGGAAGTTGTCCATCCGCATTTCCTGTCTACTCTAGTATTGTTATTTTCCTTCTCAGGTCTTGATGAGGTTGAAGATTAAACTATCACAACTATTATTCTCTCTTCCTAGTTAGATATATTAGGTACTAGACTTACGTTTTCCAGCTTAGGACAACTCTATTGTAAACTCCATTATGCCCTCACCCTAGGACTAGATATGTAGGTCATTTTGTTCTCGATTTTCCTTTTCTTAGAGCACACTTGTTATTCACTGTTTTGTATATAGTTTTGTATTAAGCCTAAATCTTTTCTTTAGACTAAAAGGGGAATTGTAGTGAGGTAGTCCTTCTGTAGCACTGACCACGCCCATTGGGGGGTGGAGCTATGGGCGGAGGTGACCTGAGGAAGGAGGTCGGAGGGGGCCAGGAAGGCGCTCTCTTTCTGGCGTGACTCGGACAGGAGAGGATCGGGTTGAATTTCCTGGTGTTCATCTGTCTAGGTTGTAAGTTATTTCTCCCTGAATAAACATCTATTCGGCTTATTTGTTTATCCTGATCCTTATTTACCGCAATATAAAAGTCATTAGTTTAAACATGAGAGTTTTGCTTTGCTTGCCTGCACAGAGAGGGTAAGATTTTCAAATATTCTCATTTCATCAAAATGTTTTGATCATCAAGCTAAGTTATGTTAACCTGTTAAAATATTTCCTTTCTTTCCTATAAAGTAAAGTCTACAGATGTATCACTGTCACAAGAGAAGAATTCTAATCTGAAAGAACACCACCATGGCATGTTGCCTTGCAGACTCCAGAGGGTACCTGCCAAAGGGTGCCTTAGAAGAATGAGAGTTCCTAGAAGCATAGATTCATACACAGGTACTAGTGATGCAAATCCCACTGGGAGGGCTGGAAGTCACCAGAACCACTTTGACCCTCAGGTACAGAGAGAGCTTCGATTTTTCCACACCACTATCTTAAAAGCATAATTTCATTGATGTGATCTGAAAAAGGTTTGTTTTCCTTTCTCTATTGAAGATAAGAGATAAACATTCCTGCCTGTTTTAAAACTCAGGCTAGGGCTTTTCTTGGCCCAAATAACATTTAAAAAGAAAGCCTCAAGGAACTTGGAAATATAATATGCATACATACATATGTATGTATGTATATATATATACATACATACATATATTCTGTCTTCTTCCATTGCTTCAACAAAATAATTACTCTAATCAGATTCCCTCCTATATCCTCCCAGAGACAAATGAAAGTAACATGTGAAGAGACACTGGTTAGCTAAATAGACTGGCTCTCCCTTCGCCCATTCAGAGCCAACCCTCTTCTTTCAGAGTGAACCCTTTTCTCCCACTTGCCATAGGCAGGCCTTAATTACTGAATACCAAAGATCCTTTGCTTCAGGAAGACGTTAGCAATGATATATCTAAATTTTCCAGGATTCTACTTTCCTGAATCCAAACAGTGAAGTTACCTCCTGCAACAGACTCAGCCTGGTCAAAAGACAAAAAGGACACTGCCCATTTTTGCTTCCTTTGTACAGCATGGTGCCTTCAACTCAAAACAGAACTGGGTCAAATTTTTAATAGAAGTTCTTACTACAAGTTTCTTGTCTACAAAGATATCTCAGTATATAATGTGCATTTCAGTCTATAATGTGCCTACCATGCAAGCATGAGAATCTGAATTTGTGTCACTAGCATCCATGTAAAAGCTGTTCTTGGTAGTGCATGTGTAATCCTAGAAAATGAGTGGAAGGAAGCAGATGGATCCTCAAAGCTTGCTAGGTAGCCAGCTTGGCAAGTAGGTGAACTGAGAGACTACACCTCAAAAAACTATGGTAAAAATGGCAGAGGAAGACATTCAGTGTCAGCCTCTGTTCTCTACATGCCAGTGCGCACTGTGCATTCACACAAACATGTGCACACACAAGGACACCACACATACATGTAAAGCTAGTGCCTCGGTTTGGTCAAATTCAGAAAGAAACTTCTTAGAGTGCTTGTGTGTACTGTTGGGGTGACTTCGGTTCTGTTTTGATAGATCGGATCTATCTCCTGTGGCTCCTGCTCGTCACCATTGCCTATCACTGGAACTGTTGGTTACTTCCAGTGCGCCTCACATTTCCATACCAAACGCCAGACAACAGGCACTACTGGATTATTACTGACATTATATGTGACATCATCTACCTTGGTGATATATTATTGATACAGCCAAGACTCCAATTTGTAAGAGGAGGAGAAATTATTGTAAGTGGAGTTTGGGGGAAGAAATTGACAGATGAGCAATGTACAATTGGACTGCAAAAAAAAAAAAACTAAATTTGCAAGACTGTTTTATTTAATGCTTGTATTTCTGTGTGTGAAGTTTTGTGGATGTCTGAATATTCTAATTCATCTTTCTTTTCGCCTCTCTGACTCATAAGTTGTTGCTCTCAGGTCTGTGCTACTGGTTTTATATTTAGGAAGTGGTCTCCTGTGCCAATGCATTCAAGGGTACTTTTTTCCTTCTTTTCTATCATGTTCATTGTAGCTGGATTTATGTTGAGGTCTTTGATCCATATGAACTTGAGTTTTAAGCATCAAAGTTCCTATATTTTACAGGATTGTTTTGGCTATCCTGGTTTTGTTTGTTTGCTTGTTTGTTTTTACATATAAAGTTGAGAATTGTGGTTTCAAGGTCTATGAAGAATTGTGTTGGGATATTGATGGGGATTGCAAGAATTTCTCTTTACTGAATTCTTCTTTCATATCTTGTATTGATTTGTATGTTCAGCTATTTCTTTGTATTCTCTTTGAATTAATTAGAAGTTTATTTTACCTTTGATTTAATTGTAGTTTTTATGATTATCCTTTTAATTTTATATAGAATTTTATCTAATTCCCTTTCACTGGTATCTTCTTCTATGGATTTGTTATTTTCACAGGGCTCATATACATATACATATACATATATATATATATATATATATATTGATTTGTGAGTCTGGGGTTATTGATTATTTTATTGGTTGGGTATTTACTGTTTTCTTACAGTCAAAGTGTTTCAATGTCCAAGTGAGACTAGGTCATGATAGATGTGAAGTATTTTTCATCTCCAGTGAACCAAGAATGTAATACAATATCTAAATTAGACCTGGTACAGTGCCCTATAAAACTGTGGGTATAAAACATTCACTGCAGCTACCACAAGTGCTAAATGGTTCCATTATTGTATCTGTATCCTTACAGGTGGTTTAAAATAATCATCTCTTTATCTTTAATAACTATTGGGGAATAGAGTGAGAAGGTAGAGTAGTATTGCTAAGATAAGTTTAGACTTGGGAGGGAAATATGGTAAGAATAGAGATTAGTATTAGATTAATTGAGAAAAAACAAAAGGTAGATAGATGGAAGTGGGGAGTTGGAGTACTGTTAGAATCTATAGAGTTTAAGTATTAATAAAGCTATGAAATACTCAGGTTAATAAGTACTAAGAGGAGAGCATGTGAATAGAATAAGCAGAGATAAAATAAGTATGAGAAAGAAAACATATATGATACTTATAGGGCTGATGGTGAACCATACACAGTAGGATGAATGCAGTCACACCCTTATGCTTTCAACAACTGTAACTTCACTGTACTGACCATATGGGTGGCTATTAAGCATAAGTATATTCAAATTTTGCAATTAAATAATATGAAGTTTCAAAATTCCCTACCATATTTTATCCATATTTCTAGTGCTCAACAGCACTTGGCTATTGCTGTGTTGCAGAGATTTTCACCAATTGTAAATTATGCTGGTGGAAAGCCACATAAGGCACTGAGAGACTTCAGAATTCCTTCAGGAGCCTAGCCACAGAGGAAAGACATGTGTCTTGCCATTTGCAAATCATAAGTCCGTGGTTGTCTTATATTGTAATGAATATCTTCTGATCTATTTCTTTTCTTTCTTGGCTTTCCAAATTCATAACATCTCATTCCTCATGATCAAAGCAGTAGCCTCCTTCAAAAACCAGAATTCTTATCTTTGAGAAAGTTTATTCTTCTAGATTTAGTCCCAGTTTGGAATTTCATAATTAATTCTAATGATGAAAAGCAAAACTGAAAAAAAAAATGTATTTTCGTGAGCATACACCCAAGTGTTAAACCTCTGCTTTTCACACACTTGCAAGATAACTAGTAGAAAGGGTGTCCCCTGGATGTCCACTGTGATTCCCTTATCATAAGTCTCTACAAGGACTACCCTCCAAGATCAGAGTAGGAAGGGCCAACTGGCATAATATATAGCAACTCAGAGTCATATATGTTATTAATAGTAGGGTTCTTTAGTCCTGAATATTTTTTGAGTATTCAGGAAATCTTAAGTTTTCAAAAATATGAAAAAATAATTTTACTAATTTTTAATTTCTGGTATATGCAGTATATTTAATTTTTTTTCTAAAGGCAGTAATAGCCAAACCAATAGCAAATATCTACTCATAATATTCCAAATGCAGACTTTAGAGCATCAGTTCACTTATACCCCAATCCAAGAGTTCACTGGCACCTTGATGAATGATGAAGGAAGGAAGGGAAGGAGAGAGGGAGGGAGAGAGGGAGGGAGGGAGGGAGGGAAGAAGAGAGGGAGGGAGGAAAAACCCCACTAATTACAGTCTGCATTATAGATGCACAAAATCGATGTTTGACAAATGGAAAATGACAAAATCACAAAAGGGAGACTTTTATTTTCAATTTCCTAAGAGATCTTTGCACACAATAGAGAGTTGAAACCCTAAAAAATAATCAACAAAAACACACTCAATGAGTTCTATTCAAAATGCATTACCACAAGTTACAAATATAGAACAGGAACTAATTGCTTTGTTTGCTCAAAAGAAGTTTAATGGTTCCTTTAATTTAGAGTAGGTAATTTTGGCCTTTGAAAGTTGATTACATTTGGTATGAAGTCTGTATATACTGAGTTCCCAACCTGAAGATCTCACTGTTTTTATCTATACATGCTCTCTTTAAGATATTCCATAGAAGTGAACACTTTATTTACTACATATACTAGGTAGACACACCTACCTACCTTCTGTACATATGCTATATTAACTTAATACATGCTGCACCAGGGCTGGAAGATGGCAGCCTTAATTCTGTAAGCATTTTTAGGGAAAACAGATGGAAGTGCAAACAGCCACAGTGAAAGAAACCTGGAAGATCTACACATGTTCTACAACATTTATTCATAAATTCTTCTGAAGATGGCTCTATATAGACGGATGTCCAAACACCACCATCAACAACAACAAAAAGCTTCCTATAAAAATTTCCTAACATGTAGGAGGACAGGGTCTCTGGTAGTGGATCAGTATTTATCCCTGGTATACAAACGGACTTTGGGAGCCCATTGGACATAGAGGGATATTCTCTCAGTCTAGATACATGGGGGAGGGCCTAGGCCCTGCTCCAAATGATATGACAGACTTTGAAGACTCCCATGTAAGTCCTCACCCTCCCTGGGGAGCAGAAAGGGAATGGGATGGGGGTTGGGAGGGGGACAGTAGAAGAGGGGAAGGTGAGGAAACTGGGATTGACAAGTAAAACAAGTTTGTTGCAAATTTAAATAAAAAATTATTATCAAAAAAAATCCTAACATGTAGCTGAAATCAAGTTAATAGTGGATATTATTTTATTTATACATCATATATGATTTTACTCATTGTGTGTGCCCATGACATGGGTACCTTGGTTTATGTGTAAAGGTAAGAGGAGAGTTGGATGTATCCTTCTACCATGTGAATTCTGGGATCAAACTCAGGTTATTAGGCTTACTGGGCAGGTCCTTCACTGCTAAGCAAGCTCATGTGCCTAACACTGGCTGTTGGCTATGACACACAGCTACAGCTTTTGATGGATAAACCCAATAGTCAAAAAGAATCTGTGTAAATGTTTAGTGCCCACTAACGACTATATCAATTAGGTCTTTGTTATAGGACACTACTCTAAACACTCACACCTCACAATTACTGCTTATAAAAATGACCTGAAAGGAATTACTCATTTCTTTGATATTTTTTTATTTAATTTAGATAAATAAAGCATAAGTTAACCATAATACACTAGAGAAAAGCAGACTAGGCTCAAATTTCACAACTGAAATATTCACTACTAAGATTTGAAGAAACTAAATTAACTCCTTTATTGAACTCTCTCTTCTACTTGTATAGTGAAAAGAGTACTATTTAATAAATCTACAATAAAAACTAAATAAGATGATTATGTACAGATACCCTAAGATATGACTGATAGAAGTAAATTGTCAGATGAATTCAATGAATAAACACCACACATTTAGCAAGTCTTCCTTTTCTCTTTAGCTCTCTTTCTTACCTGATAATAAGTTCCTGAAAGGTGGGAACAGTGTTCTATCCATTTTCCTATCTTAACCTTGGAATTCAAAGATTTTCAAGACAGGTTTGGGGGGAGAGGTGTGTGATAAAGCTGGCTCAAGAATTTCCTTTCTTTGAGTAATCCTCTAACTGCAGCCTCGCATTATACACTTTTTAAGTGTTTCTCTCTGTTCTGTTTTAAACTGCAGAATTGTTAATCAGAGAAAGTAAATAATGGGTAAACACTAACATCCAGTAGAGCATTCTCTAAGACTCTCTGTTAGGACAGGATTTAGGTGTAATTAGCATACCCTTCCTAAAGTAAGCTTCTGAGGAAGAAATGCTGTCTGCATAATAAGCAGGCTTAAAAGAGAGAAGGAACTAAATAGGGTGACATTTTAAAAGTAAGTGCCTAATTGTCACTAGTAAAGAGACTGATCCTCTTAAGGCTAATGGTGCCAAATTTATTAAGTGCTCAAAAGATTTTAACAGGGATTTTAAAATTGTTAAATGCCACTTTCCTTTAATCAGGCATTTTTAGTTGTGTTTACATTTATTCAATCACAGAATCATAGACTCTGAAAAGAAAGGTATAAATGTGGGGGGGAAACCTTCTGGTTGGTGGGGAAATGCAATATTTTAACATAGCAGCTTGGCACTTGGGTTGTGTCTGTCTGTATCAGAGAAGCTATGATGGAGCTGTCTGATTTTACTCAGTCTTTCTCAGCACAAATTTATATTACTATCAATGAAACCTGTCTATGCCTACCTACCTTTGGCTCAATAATCCTTTTTTATCATAGTACAAATCATTAAATGAGCATATCTTACATATATTTTAATATATTTTTGTAAAATTTACCATGTGTATGTGGGTTAAAAGTATAACTATAATAGGGAGTGAGAGACTAGGAACAGAGGTGGCTGGCATGTGTGTGTGTTTGTGCGTGTGAGTGTGTGTGTGTGTCCATGTGTTCATATGCATGTGTATATGTGTGTATCTCAATGTGCACACATATATGTGCACATGTATGTATCTTAACAAGTATATGGAGGTTATATATAAGGTGAGGTTAATGTATGGTGGCCTCCTTCAGTTGCTTTCCACCTTTATTTTCTGGAACAGTCTTCCACTAGCCAGGAAGATCATAGATTTGACCACAATGGCTAGCCACTGAACTTCAGCGATTTGCCTGTCTCTACTCACAGTCACCCATAGCACTGATTCTAAAGATATGTTAATATGACTATCAAGCTTAGGTTTTCATGCTTATGTGTCAGGCATTTTACCAAATGGACCATCTGCCTAGCCCCAACTAACTGATCTTAAACACTACTTAAAGAAGATTAAAATTTTCCATATTAAATAACATGAATGATAATAGTTAGATGCTGCGGCTTCTGTGTGCCCAAGTTCTAATACTGTAATCAATTAAGAGTTTATAAGAAACTTCTTCCTACATGTAACTGAAACATCTATATGTTAGAATTTCTAGGATGCTAGAACTGATTCCCTTAGGCCTCAATGTTAGTATTAAAAGCCTTTCTACTCTCGTGGCAAATAGCATACATTTATCGAGCACCTACTGAGGTTAGACCTGTCAGGAACTGAGAAAACCCGGGAGTAGTAGTCCTGGTTTTTATAAGAAATCAGGCTGAACAAGCTACATGGAGCAAGCCAGTGGCCAGCACCCCTCCATGGCCCCTGCATCAGCTCCTGCCTCCAGGTTCCTGCCCTGTTTGAGTTCTTGTCCTCATTTCATTCAGTGATGGATTAAAATGTGGAAGTTGAACCTCTCCTCCCTCCTGAAAAACAAAAAAATGTATGCCTAACTTTTTTACACAACTCAAGCATAAAGGAGAAACAAACAAGAAATACAGTGAACTTCTATGTTGTATTAACATGGGTCATTGGTACTATCTGTACCCTTCCATCTTAGCAACAACAGGAAGCTTGATCCTGGAATAGCCCCAACAAAGGCATTCAAGTGAGAAACTGACATGTTTCAGGAACTGAGAGATAAAGAAGGATAAGAAAACTTCAAAATTACTGCTGAGACAGGGAGAGCAGAGCAAGATGGACTACAAAAGAGAATTTGAGGGTTTTTATTTTTCCTGAAAATCATGTAGAGTCATAGAATTAGACATAAATAGGAATTAGGTTCTCTGATTTAGATCTTTGTCTGACATTGTGTAATGAATAGAATAGGGTGTGGGGAGTACCACTTAAGTCAGGAAGACCACTGCCAAGAGAGAGATTGAACAGGCGAGGCAGAGGGAGTAGTCTAGGCTGACTGGCCAACATGGATGGGTATGCTCAGAGGATATGCAATACCAGGAGTTCACACTTAGGCTTGAGGAGATTGGAGATAATACTGACTTCAGCTTTACTGGCTACAGCTCCTCGATGTGATATAAGAAGAGGAGATACAGATTTGATGTGGTATCTTTGAAACTTCACACATGGATGAGATTTTTCAAGAAGTAAACAGAATGAGAAGAAAACATAACAAAATTGTGAGACATGCATTTCTGACCTTAAGCAACATGCAGGTAAACTGAGGGGCACTTCTGCTTCCCCAAAAGAGAAAGTCTTAAAAATCAAAAATTATTTCAGAAAATGCCAAACGCTACAAAACTTTTATCCCTCTCTTTATTCCTCTATCTAGTCATGCCCAAAATATTTACTGAGTTCTAAGAATGTTCCAGTCACTGATTACCCAACTGTCAAAAAGTCAATCCTGACCTCAAGAAGATTACAGTTTAACCAGGGAGTCTGGTTTTAAATAAAATATACAAGGCAATGTGGAGATTGCTCAATGAGTAAAGGTATTTGCTGCACAGCCTGGTGATCTGAGTTTGACTCTCAAATCCAGGTAAAGATGGACGGGGAGAACTAACCCAACAAACATGTCCTATGATCTACACACACACACACACACACACACACACACACACACACACACACACACACACACCCCAAATATGTACACAACGATAAATAAAAGTTTACAAAGACCCAACAATCTATCATTTCAAAACATCCTGAGTTCCACAACACAAATGGTAAGTGTGAGCAGGTTCCTGTGTAGCCTTTGTACTGTTAGATTTATTGGTACAAAGAAGGAGGAAGACAAATATGACCAAACTCCTGCAGTTTAGGGGTGGGCATGAGCAAAGAGTGTAGAACAAAAGCAATACGGTTGACTCTCCTGGTATTCCTATGTTAAACTGGAGGACAATAAGAAAAAAGAAACAAACCAGATTCTGTGCTTGTGTTTGTGTGTGTGCACTTTTAATTTGCCTTGGTTTGGTTTTGTCTGGTTTTGTTTGTTTGTTTGGATTTTCATGTTTTGTCTTTTTATTTCTTGTTTTGTTTTTTTTTTTTTTTCTTTTGGGGTAAAGACCAGGAAGTTATGAATACAAGGAGGTGGGGAGAATCTGGGAAGAAAGAAAAGAATATGATCAAAGTATACTATAGAAAAATGTTTAGGTAATATGTGAAATTAATAAAAAGAAAACAATCACCATGCATTGCAGTATGTTTCAAAATTGCAAAAGGTTGGATAATGATAGTATAATTGTAGGCTAAGATTGAAGAATATAATAAAGGGAAGTAACTGTAAATATTAAAAAGACTAATAAATGAAATTTGCTAAACCTGATCAAAATATAAATGTATTACAGGTAGATTCAAATGAGCTGAAGAGACACTACAGAAGTTCTACAAAATTTCAGGTAGGTGACTCACAAATAGGGCCAGAACCATTTAAGCAGAACTACTTTCACTTTACGTCTCATTTCTACAAATGTTACCTTCATTTGTAACAAACTTCATACAGATGTGAATGTTTTATTAGACAGCAGTGAATACTCCTGACATTTGTTCCTCCATACTTCACACTACATGCATTCCGCTGTATCTGAAAGGGAACTTAAATATGTAAAAGCCAAAGTAAACAGCTGTCCATATTTAGCTCCTAAGTTAAATTATAGTTGGGGAAAGTGGAGTGTACCTTTTCTAGTCTACAGAATTTTAGTTATCAGTTCATGTGGTGTGGTGGTGTAAATTCTGCAAAATTATTTCTATTCCTATCCATTCTTCATATGAGAAGAATAAATAAACTGAAGAAGCAGTTATTTAGATGACACAGCATCTCCTTTTCTCAGATAAAAAGATGATCTTATGTCTTATAGTTATTTACTAATCTGTCTTCTAATTGAAAAGCAGGCAGGCATGGGGTTATCGAAGGTTACCTAAGCCATTTTATGACTTCAGCCTCCCCCACCAAGGACTGTAATTTAGTTCTTCAAAGTCTGTTAGCAAATACACTGCCCGTGCAAGCATTCAATGTTGTTAAGCTAGCTCTCTCTCTCTCTCTCTGTCACATACACATGCATTCACACATGCACACACACACACACAAACACACAAGCTCTGAAAGTATTTTTTGAAAAGAAAGTAGACAAAATTATATTGATAATTAAGGAATGCCATTGATTGCCAAGGTATAAGAAGGCCTGAATAATGTAAATACACAAAAAGTTTTAAAAAGAATATTTTAGCTATAATATTACAGTGTTTTCCAAGACTTTCTCTTATTTGAGTTGCTGATTTACTGTAAACAGAGCTGATTTCTACCTGTCTTTTAGCCTTTGTAGACTTTGATAGAAACTTTTATGTCAAGTAATTGGTAGCAAAACAACGCAATGAAGACAATGATAGAAATCACCGAAGAACCTAAGTGAACCAGAATGACAACATCCACTCTGACCCACAGAGAGATGGGTGGAACCTAAAGCAGTATCACTGCAATGAATTTACAAGAGTTTCAAGCAAAATCAAAACTAGATTTGATTTGAATTCCAGAACATCATGTTTCAAAGACTATGAAAATGCATTTTAACATTAGTATCTATGTTATTATTGAACTATATGAAACAAGAAAAATCAGAGCAAAGGTAATGTCTAAGGATAGTTCAGATACATGAAGATGAAAATGAAATGTACTGGCATAGACTACAAACTAATGTCCTTGTTCTCATGATATTAATGTCTTTAACTAGAATTGTGAATATTTAACTGAAAGCAATTTTGTATTAAATAGTAAATAATTCATATGGATTGACAACTTTTACATACTATTCTAGCTTAAGTGTGAAATGTCTCCTGTAAACTCACACTTGGTTCACACTAGATGGTGACTCAGTTTGGGAAGATTGCAGGGCCTATAAAAGGTAAAGCCTTGCTAGAGGAATTAGCACACTGGAGGCCAATTTGCTAGTTAGAGCTCTCTGGGCTCACTCTCTTGTTTCCTGAGTTAGGATGCAATGTGACCATCCACCTTTTCCTCCTGACCCATGCCTTCCCTGCCTAGGCCATGTCCTCTTCACTGAGATGAACTGTAAACCTCTAGATCCATAAGCTAAAATGAATTCTTTCATTCTGGATTTGCTTTGCAGGATATTTTAATCACAGCAACAGAAAAGTAGCTTGTACATATATTGGCCTGCATGAGTACAAATCCAAGCACAGGGAAGTAAGTATGCAAACTACCTAAATGTGAATATGTTTTTTCAACAGATGGATGTCATATCCCTAATGCCATTTGAAGTACTCTACATCTTCTTTGGATTTAATCCAATACTTAGAACAAATCGAATATTAAAGGTAAAGAAACTACATTTAGCTGTCTTCTCCTAATGGAAATCTTGCAGCGAGTTTAGATATGCTAAAATTAACAATGCTCTTTTTTCTGAATGACCTTCTATTTCTCAGACTTCATCAGTATTTTGAATTTTTTAAATAAAGAGTAGAAAAATGCCAATGTTACTATTGATGGAAATGACTCCTAATTGTTTCTAATCTATCTTATAACAGGTATTTTTTTAACATCCCAGCCACAGTTTCTCCTCCCTTCTTTCCTCCTAATCCCTTTCCCCTACTCCCCCTCTATTTCCACCCCTAATCAACTCCTCCTCAATTTCTTTGCAATAGGTTTTTTTTTTTATAACCCAAAGTAGGAGTGCTTTTTTACTTTTATAGATGACTAGAATTACAAATAAATGTTTTATAATTTTAATTTTTCTCAGCATCATTTATCAGAGAGTTCCTGAATGTTTAAAATATCAAGCTATGAAATGAAAGAGGTAGAAGGGGTCACCTCTAATTTTTTTTGATAATGTTGTTTATTTAAATTTGCAACAAGCTTGTTTTATCTGTCAATCCCAGTTCCCTCACCCTCCCCTCTTTCTCTGTCTCCCTCCCAAACCCCATCCCATCCCCTATCTAAACCCCAGGAGGGTGAGTCTTTCCATGAGGTTCAAAGTCTGTCATATCACTTGGAGCAGGATCTAGGACTTCCCCATTTTTCTAGACTGAGAGGGCATCTCTCTATGTGGAATGGACTCCCAAAGTCCATTCATATATTAAGGATAAATACTGTTCCAAAAACCAGAGGCCCCATAGACTGCAAAATCCTCCTAACTAAACCCACAGTCAGAGGGACTGGGACTGTCCTTTGCTGGTTTCCCAGCTATCAGACTGGGGTGCGTGAGCTCCCTCTTGTTCAGGTCAGCTGTTTCTGTGGATTTCTCCAGCCTGGTCTTGACCCTTTTGCTCATCATTCCTCCCTCACTGCAACTGGATTCCAGAGGTTCGGCTCAGTTTAGCTGTGGGTGTCTGCTTCTGCTTCCAACAGTTATTGGAAAAGGCTCTAGGATGGCATATAAGGTAGTCATCAACCTCATTATTAGGGAAGGGCATTTAAGGGAGCCTCACCACTGTTGCTTAGATTGTTAGTTGTGGTCATACTTGTAGATCTCTGAACATTTCCCTACTGACAGATTTCTCTTTATACCTATAATGGCTCCCTCTATTATACTATCTCTTTTCTTGTTCTCCTCTATTCTTTCCCTGACTCAATTTTCCTGCTTCCTCATGCCCTCCTCTCCCCTACTCTTTGCCCCTTCTTTCTCAGAACTTCCTCTCCCCTGCCCTGCTCACAATCTGCTCTGGAGAGCATGACTCTTTCCCCTTTTGTTGAGGACTATGTATGTCTGTCTTAGGGTCCTCCTTGTTTCCTAGCATTACTGGCCATGTGGATTGTAGGCTGGTATTACTTTGCTCTGTGTCTAAAATCCATATATGAGTGAGTACATACCGTGTTTGCCTTTTGTGACTAGGTTACTTCACTCAGGATGGTTTCTTCTAGTTCCAACCATTTGGCTGTGAATTTCAAGATTCCATTGCTTGTTTCTCCTGAATAGTACTCCATTATGTAAATGTACCACATTTTCTGCATCCATTCTTCAGTTCAGGGCCATCTAGGTTGTTTCCGGGCTCTAGCTGTTACAAATAATGCTGCTATGAACATAGTTAAACAGATGTCTGCTGTTCATTTGCTGTATATTGCCTTTATTATGTTTAGGTATGTTCCTGTTATCCGTGATCTCTCCAAGACCTTTATCATGAAAGGGTGTTGGATTTTGTAAAAGTCTTTTTCAGCATCTAGTGAGATTATCATGTGGTTTTTCCTTTTCAGTTTGTTTGTATGGTGAATTATATTACTAGATTTTCATATGTTGAACCATCCCTGCATCCCTGGGATAAAACCTACTTGGTCATGGTGGATGATTTCTCTGATATGTTCTTGGATTCAAAATGCAACTATTTTATTGAGTATATTTGCATCAATGTTCATGAGGGATATTGGTCTGTAGTTCTTTTTCTTAGTGTGTGTTTGTGTGGCTTGGATACTAGGGTAATTGTAGCCCTATAATAAAATAAAATAAAATATATAGAAAAGAATTTGGCAATGACCATTATGTTTCTGTTGTATGGTAAACCTTGAGGAGTATTGGTAGTAGCTATACTTCGAATTTGTGGTAGAATTCTGCACTGAAGCCATCTGGTCCTGGGCTTTTTTTTTTTTTTTTTTTTTTTTGGGAGACTTTTCATGACTGCTTCATTTTAAATAGGAGTTATAGGTCTATTTAAATTGCTTATTTGGTCTTGATTTAATTTTGGTAAGTGATAGCTATCCAGAAAATTGTCCATTTCTGTTAAATTTTTAATTTTTTTTTTTGAGTACATGTTTTCAAAATATGACCTGAAGGTTCTCTGGGTTTCCTCAGTGTCTGTTATTATGTCCCTCTTTTCATTTCTGATTATGTTAATTTGCATGTTCTCTCTTTGCCTTTTGTTTGAATAAAGGTTTAGCTATCTTGTTGATTTTCTCGAAGAACCAACTCTTTGTTACATTAATTCTTTGTATTGTTTTCCTAGTTTCTACTTTATTGATTTCAGCCCTCAATTTGATTGTTTCCTGATTTCTACTCCTCCGATGTGAGTTTGCTTCTTTTTGTTTTAGGGCTTTCAATTGTGCTGTTAATTCTCTTATGTGACTGTTCTCCAGTTTCTTCATGTGGGCACTAGTGCTATGAACTTTCCTCTTAGTACTGCTTTTAAAGTATCCCATAAGTTTGGGTATGTTGCATCTTCATTCTCATTGAATTTTAGGAACTCTTTAATTTCTTTATTTTTTCCTTTACCCAGGAATGGTGCAATTGTCCATTGTTCAATTTCCATGAGTTTGTTTCTACAGTTTGTGTTATTATTGAATTCTAACGTTAAAGCATGGTAGTCTGATAAGATACAGGGGGTTATTGTAATTTTTTTGTACCTATTGAGGTTTGCTATATTGTCAAGTATTTGGTCGATTTTAGAGCTGAGAAGAATGTATATTCTTTTGGGTTTGAATAGAATGTTCTATAAATGTCTGTTAAAGCCAATTGGGTCATGACTTCTGTTAGTTACTTTGTTTCTTTGTTAAGTTTCTGTCTGGTGTACCTGTCTAGTGTTGAGAGTGGGGTGTTGAACTCACCCCCTATATGAGTGTGAGGTTTTAGGTGAGATTTTAGTTTTAGTAATCTTTCTTTTACAAATGTGGGTGCCTTTGTATTTGGGGAATAGATGTTCAGAACTGAGACTTCATCATGATAGATTTCTCCTGTGATGAATAATAAATGACCGTCTTCTTCTCTCTTGATTCATTTTAGTTTAAAATCTAATTTCCCCAACCCTTAACTCTGAGGTAACTTCTGTCTTTAAAGTTGAGGTATGTTTCTTGTATGCAACAGAAGAATGAATTCTGTCTTCGGATGCATTCTGTTAGCCTGTGTCTTTTTATTGGCTAGTTAAGACTATTAATATTGAGAGATATTAATGAACACTGATTATTAATTCTTGTTTGTTTTGGATTTGGTGGTGGTGGTATTACGTGTGGATTTCCCCCCATATTTCTTTTGACTATTGGCAAAGTAAGATTGTCTATTACCTATGTTTTTGTGGGTGTACTTGACTTCCTTGGGTTAGAGTTTTCCTTCTAGAATGTTCTGTAGGGCATGATTAGTTGTTTAAATCTGGTTTTGTCATGGAACATCTTGGTTTCTTCATCTATAGTGATTGAAAGTTTTGCTGGGTGTATTAGTCTGGTCTGGCATCCATCGTCTCTTAGTGTTGGCAGAATATCCAGGACCTTCTGGCCTTCAGAGTTTCAATGGAGAAGTCAGGTGAAATTCTGATAGGTTTCCTTTATATGTTACGTTTTCCTTTGCTTCTCTTTATATTCTTCCTTTATTCTGTATGTTTGGTGTTTTGATTATTATGTGGCAAGGGGACTTTTTTGTGGTCCACTGTATTTGGTGTTCTGTAGGCTTATTGTATTCTCATTGGCATGTCTTTCTTTAGGTTTAAAATGTTTTCTTCTATGATTTTGTTGAATATATTTCTGCACCTTTGAGTTGGGCTTCTTTGCCTTCTATAGCTATTATTCTCAGGGTTGGCTTTTTCACGATGTCGCATATTTCCTGTATATTTTGTGTTAAGGAGTTGTTGAACTTAAGATTTTCTTTGCCAATGAATGTATTTCTCCTAATATATCATCACCACCTGAGATTCTCTCTTCCATCTCTTGTATTCTGTTGGTTATTCTTGCGTCTGTAGTTCCTGATCATTTACCCCACTTTTCTATTTCCTACATTCCCTCAAAATGTGATTCTCTCTCTCTCTCTCTCTCTCTCTCTCTCTCTCTCTCTCTCTCTCTCTCTCTTTCTGTGTGTGTGTGTGTGTGTGTGCGTATGTGTGTGTGTGCATGTGTGTGTGTGTGTGTGTGTGTGTGTGTGTGTGTGTGTGTGTGTATTTCAGCTTTCAAACCTTGCACAGTTTAAATTGCTTCTTGCAATTTTGGGGTTGTCTTTTCTTCCATTTCTTTAAAGGATTTTCTTACTTCCTCTTTTAGTGTCTCTATCATCTTCATGAAGTTGTTTTTAGAGTCATTCTCTTCTGCTTCATCTGTGTTGGGATGTTAGGTCTTGTTGGTGTAGAGTCCCTAGACTCTGGGGGCATCATATTCATCTTTCTGTTGTTGACTCTGTTCTTATACTGATGTCTTTTTCCAGTGTGTAATGGTGGGGTCTCTCCCTCTCATGGGGGGGTACAGGACCAAGGTTCTCTGCTATTGGATACAAGCAAGTCCAATACTCCAATGGTTCTCCTCTTCCAGTGGGTAGAGGTGGGACTAGGGTGCTGGTAGACTCTGAATGGGCTGGTCCACTGGAACGGGTTACCCCATGCACAATTCTAGTCCTCAGGAGGCTCCAAGCAGGGCACATGAAGGTGGGCTCCCTCCGTGGGTTTAGGCTAGGCCAGGAAGCTGGCAGACTCTGTATAGGCTGGTTGCTGGGACAGGTTACACCGTTCAGTCCCCAGGCCTCAGGAGGCCCTAACCAGGGCCCTGGAAGGCAGGCCAGAAACAAACCCACACTTACCGGCTCCCATGGGTGGAGGTAGGACTAGGATACAGGCAGACTCTAGACAAGCCAGTCCACTTGGATGGACTCCTCAATGCATGCATAGGCCCCAGGCCTCAGGAGGCTCCACTCTAAAATTTTATTCACCTAAGTTTCTATAATAATAGGAACAATGAAAACAGTTTTACATCCTTGCTAAAACTAAAATGCTCATCAAGATTTTGTGGCTCCTTATAATCTGAGCCCTTGGGAAGATGAGGATTTCCATTAGTTTAAAACAGTCTAGGCTACATAATAATTCTCCGACTAGCCTGAGCTACAGCATTAGATTCTGTCTCAAAAAAAACAAAAAGTCACAAAGCAGAGTTTACAGAACACAACTAATTTATGCAAACAAGAAAGAAAAAATGTTAAGTTTTAGATATTTACATAAATTCCTAAATACTACAAATATTTTTCAGAAACTAATTAAAGCAGCTGCCTAAGATGAAAAGGAAAATCAGGATGAATAGAAGCAACAGAGTTTTAAAGGAATATATTTAACACTGATTTTGTAATACTTGTATGCATTGACTATTAAAAGTGTTCTAAGACATACATGTTTCATAAACTCAGCTTCATTGGGTAACGTACAAATTAGAGGAAAATCTCAGTGTTTTTTTTAATGTATGTAAATACATAAATCTTTAAGAATAGCAATAGTTAAGAGTATTAATTGATCTTGCAGAGGATGCAGGTTTCATTCCCTGCACCCATATTCAAGCTCACAATGTTCTGTTACTCCAGTTCCTAGAGAACTGGCTCCCTCTTCTGCCAACTGTGGGCACCATATGTGGTGCAGACATACATGCAAGGAAAACGCCTGTATATACATGATTTTAAAAAACAAAAATAAATAAATCTCATTTTTAAAAAAGAATATTGAATACTTGTACCTCAAAAGACAGCCTCCTTAAACAAGAAAGATTTTATTAATTTAAAAAATTATTTTTAATTTCATACTTTTTTTTTTTTTTTTTTTTGCATCCTGGGAAACAAGTTGGTTATCTTTCCAGTATAACACTAGCAACAGTGATGGATCCTACAACAATAGCAGTTGCTACCACTAACAGCAAAGTAGACACTTTACTTCCATTATCTATTTTATTCCTCCTCACAAGTTCATGTTACCAGTGGTGGGGATGTGACTCAGCATAGTGGGAAAGCCTGCTTGTCCACACTGATGACATAGGCAGTACTCATCTTGCTCCAGATTATCTGCTATAATATTGGTAAATAGAGGTTAGGCATAAAAAACTTCCTTTCTATGCTTATGATTTTTCCTAAGAATACAGTCCTACTCTGTATCCCAACATCCCCCCCCCCCCAGAAACTGTAGAGGCCACTAATGTGACTTTGGAATATGACTGCAAATTGAGGCAGAACACAATGTTCCAAGCATCATACCACCATCCTGTCAAACTTAGAATCTCACAAGAAAGTTCAGGAGGCATGTGTTAAAAAAAATACTTGATTTTCAAAAAGACTCTTTCAAAAAGATTCTTATGAATTTGGGAGTTTATATAGCTTTTGAATGAAAGTTTATAAAATGATCATCTCCGAATCCATGTTAGGGAGCCTTCTACAGTCAGCTTTTTAATATAGGATATTACATAAATCAATACTGATCTTTTTCCAGCTGCAGTGTCCTACCGTTCAGTTATTTATAAAGGTGTTATTTGAATGGACAATTCTCTAAGGTAAATATTATCATGTACCTGTCTCCAGGTCATAAAAAAAACATGCTATGAACACAAATTTTCTCTACTATGAACACATTATTTCTCAAATATTGTCCTTAAAAGAAAGCTCCAGTAAAAGCCCAATAAACAAGTAATCAAAATTTGAAATAATAATAATCTCAGGTTTTTTGAGGGATATTTTCAGGAATTTTAGGGAAAAACATATCATTTTTGCATATTTCTAGCTAAAATATATATATATCCTAAGATACAGCAGCCACATGTAAATTGGGGATTTTTGGAATAAGTATTCTCTGAGGACTCCTGTCTATAAGATCTTCCCCTTCAAAGCAAATTCAGCATATCAATGAAGGTAAAGAGCTAAGGTAGGAAGTAGATTTTTCCAGAGTCATGTAATGACAAATACATATCAGCAATAGGGCTGGCATTTAGCTCTGGTATTCTTGGTGAGCCCATGGTTTTATCCCACACCCTATTTCCTATAGAAATGTAGGAGTGAGAATAGGATAGAATAAGAGTATCCAAACAATGTGAAAGCTGAGACAAAAGTTGAAATATAAAAGAACATACAGCATTTGTCATTCTGGGCCTGTGTCACTTCATTTGATGTGATTTTTTTCTAGTTCCATCTATTTACCTAAAAAAATGTCATGGTTTCATTTTTCCTAATAGTTGAGTAAATATTCATTTATGTGCATGTGCCACATTTAAGAAAGAATCTTCAGAGAAACAGCAACTCTATTTGGATTAGTTCACATGAAGTCATTGAACCTTCAGATAACAGAACTCAAGCCTTTGCTAATACTTAATGAACTTCATATTTTGAAAATATATATATATATATTATATATATACATATATAAAATTTGACACCTCTTACTAGAAATAAAGCTACTGTTAACAACAATATACCTTTGTCTTTGATTTTAATCATTGCAAAATAGAGTTTTATTATATTCATTAGAAAGAAACCCATTATTGGTTTTCAAAAAGCATCAAAATAAGACTATAACCAAAGGCTAGAAATAAAATAAAGCACTGAGCTTTATAGGTTTCGCAGTGCTGTCAAGAGAAAATACCAGTAAACATAACATGTTTTTAAAGACATGCATAAATTATTTCCAATGAACAAAATATGTTACACATTTTTTATCTAAATAAACATGTAGTTAAATTACTTGTGCATTTCTTCTTATTATTTCTTTTCAGTACACCTCATTCTTTGAGTTTAATAATCGCCTGGAGTCTATAATGGACAAAGCATATATCTACAGGTGAGTATCATTGTTAAATATGGAGGAAACAGAAAGTGATGGAAGAACATTTTAGACAACATTTAGGAGAAAATGACTACACTGCTCAAAAACATGGGACATTTTCCCATTTTGCTATATAATGTTAAGTGCATGATCCAAAGTGAATTAGACTGTTTCAAGTCAGATTAAAGCAAGGAAGCCATAGTATGAAAGAGGACCTATTGTGTTTCCATTTAAACAATAAGAGATGAGTTCACTCTTCCCAGTCAGCTGATGACAATTCATGTCTGGTCTAAATTTCACTCATTTGTCATTCTGAACTTCATGAGCTCAGAGACCTTCAGTCACAGTTCATCACAGCATGAAGTCCTGTGAGCCTTTCAGATATCCAGGTAAATCAGTGTAGCATATTTTATGAGATTCAAAATGAAAAAAATGACCCTCGAGGCATGTCTTTCACAGAGTTGACTCACACCATCTGTGCAAAGAAATGAAGACTTTTTTTTACACTCTGTCAAGCCCATTCAAGAGTCTGCAGTCAAAGAACATGGGATGTCACCTATGCTTTCTCTGCACAAATAAGAGTTGACACTTGGCAAATCTAAAGCAAGATGGTTCATTGGAGACACAGAGCAAACTAAAACGTTGAAATCAGCTGCTTTCCAGAAACAATGTCAACCCTTATTTTCCATTTATTCTCTCTGACAGAGTCATTCGAACAATTGGTTACTTGCTGTTTCTTCTGCACATTAATGCCTGCATTTATTATTGGGCCTCAGACTATGAAGGAATTGGCACAACTAAGTGGGTCTATAATGGTGAAGGAAACAAGTGAGTTCTAATTTTGAAAGAGACGCTTATTTGTTCTTCTTAATTTTCAGTTTGGGCACATGAATTTTGATAAGCGAGAATTTTCCTCAGTTTATATAGGCATGTATTAGTTGTACATAGTAATAAATTTGTTTATGGTATCTTTTCATAAGAGTAGCAATGTACATTAGCCATATCCACACCTCTAAATAGCCTTTCTTATCATCTTCCCACTCCCATTGATCCTATCCCCTTCCCAACTTTCAGGGTGTGTGTGTGTGTGTGTATGTGTGTGTGTGTGTGTGTGTGTGTGTGTGTGTGTGTGTGTGTTTATGAGTTTAATTTGGATATTTACTGAAGCATGGGTGAAAGATTATGGACACATAGGCAGCTTACCAGTAGCTATGCCACTGAAAACAATTGTCAGTCACTGTTCACCATAAGCAGTAGAACCTCTCTTGTGTGTTAGTATGCTTTCAAGTGAAAAAGCACAAAATAGATTAGAAAGTAGAGAGATTATCTAATACAGAGCAGGTGTGTGTCTGTGTATATGTGTCCTAGTTCGGTGGGCAAAATGTGATTCTTACTGTGAACTATAATCTAAAAGGTTTGAAAACCTCTGCTTAAGGTAACCTAGCAATAACGTAACTTAATAACTACAATGATGGTTGTTAGTAACGATTAATGTTAATTATTTAGGGGGCAGGTCCAATAGCTAATTAGTTGATCATTGAAGGGTTTTATGAATTTATGAAGGAGCTGTATCCACTTACTAGACTGAATAAAGAATAACAAGACTCATAAATAAAACTTGATAACTAAGCAGCAAGTGTCCCATGAATGAAACAGGTCACTTCAATTTTTTAATTGTTCAATCATTACAATTTGGGTTGTTCAATAACATTTCCTTTCAGGAAATACAAGGATAAAGTAAACTACATTAACTTTCTGCTCCAGTTAAATAACATTGGATATATTGCAAGACAATGTATTCACTAGAAAAAAAGTAAGTCTCAGAATTCCTTTTAAGGGCAACCCATAGCAACCTTGGGATGGAAAGCAAAGGTAATGAAAATATCTCACAAAATTATATACTACCCAAAGCAAGTCAGTTATGTGTACAGGATTATAAGTTTTTTTTTTACTTTTAATCCAAACTTATTTCCTAAATATTTTTTAATATTACAATATAATTGCACCATTATTCCTTTTTCTTTATTCCCTCCACGCCATCCTATATATTCCTCTTTGCTCTCTTTCAGATAATGGCCTTTTTTTTTCATTAATTGTTAGAAGTGATTTGTTTTTAAATCTTATAGTCAAAAGGCCCACTGACTGTGAAACACACACACTCACACACACACACACACACACACACACACACACACACTTTGTGATGCTACTTATATGAATTTCCAGAATAAATATATGATCCTATTTACAATAACACCAAATGGGATTTAAAAAAATAAAACTAAGAGGTCCAAGGCACATATACTGGAAACAACAGTGTGAAAATGAAAGCAGGTGAAACAAAAACAAATAAATGCAATGACAACTAGATTCATGGATTGGATGATGATTATCATTCAAATGTGACCTACTCAGGCAAACCCTATCAAAATCTAAGTGGTATCTTATACCCGTCACAAAAGTCAAGTAACTGGATTAAATACACAAATATGAGATTACAAACTATGAAACTATTTCAAAGAAAGCAGAGAAGGCTAACTCTATGATCTTCTTTGGGCAATGACATGTTCAATATGACTCCTCAAACACACGTAAAGCAAAAATAGACACACAGATTTTCATCACACTAAAAACAAAACCTTTAACAAAATACAAATACAACCTACCAAACTGGATAAAATATATACAAACCATATCCATAATAATGGGCTAAAGTCCCAAATATGAGAAATTCCTTCAATTTAATAGCGAAAGCCTTCAATAAATAATAATTTAAATGACATTTCTTGAATGAACGCTTATGGAGATGGCTGGTGAGAACATATATGGATCTCTATATCATTAACCATCAGGAAATACATATCAAAACTACAATGCAATATCATATTGCCCCAACTAGAATGGCAATAATTAGAAAAAGAAAACAGGTATTGTAGTAAACAATGGAAAGGAAGCAGAAAAATGAGAATGTCCATACACTGTCAAGGGATTGTAAATTAGTACAGAAAACAGAATGAAGACATCTCAAAAAATGGGGGGGGGGAGTCTTTTTTATTATTGACATTCGAATCAGTATAAGTTTGATTTGCACTTGCCTGATGATCAATGACATTGAGGTTTTTTTCTTATACATTTGGTTATTTGAACATCTTTCTAGAAATATTTGTTTAGATTTGCCCAATTTTTAATCAGATTGTTTCTTGAGTGCCTTCTATGTTCACAGAGGCATAATTCTTATTTTCACATTTTCTTTAAGTTCAGTGTTAAGTTCTCTTATTGTTTTTACTTGTATCTGTGTGTTGTCATGCATTAAAAATTTATAGAGAGTCTATGTATAAAATCCACCAGATGGAATCTCCTTGAAAAGATTTATCTGCCTGGAGTGTAGATATTAGAGATGAACACCCTTGACTAATTAAGCTAATCCTAGAAAATCAATATGATGCCATCTAATTAAATTACAAATCTTACCTTTGGTTTGGCATGTCTGGGTGTGCAAGACATGTCTGAGAAAAGAATCCAAAAATAAACCACAAAGCATCAGGGCAGAGAATTTCCAATTAATGTAGCATACTATTTAATATTTTAAAAGTTCAAAGCTAACCCTTGAGACTTGGAAAGTCAATGCCAACATTTCATATTTAACTGTCAGTCTTAACATCTATAAATAAGGTAAAAGTAGATAATACTGTGTTTGTTCCTATTAACACTAAAATGATGTATAATAGAATTGACCACATAGGAAAAATATCTAGTCCTTTTCCTCTCTTGGGAAGTATTAAATTTAGTTAAGTTTCCTCAGTTTAAAGAAACCCACAGATTGAGGGAAAAGTGTATGGGAAAAAAATATTTTCAATTAGAAAAAAAAAAAAAAAAAGAGGTCCATGTACCTTAAGACAGGCAGAATATGAGAAAGCTCAATTTAGCCATACGAGAAAGATAAGTAGAAAGTTATCCTGCCATCCCCAACCAGACCTGCACAAGCCTAGACATATAAGAGAAGAAGCTTCCTTGAGCATTCCAAGAAGAGATCAAATGGAAAATAACATAGAAATCCAGACAACAGTAAGACTCATAGGACAAGGAAGCTGACCTCAATGTGTGTTCCCAGATGTCTCCAATCATCCCAGTCACTCCATCCCAAAGCCCACTCATTGTGGAACATAGGCAGCATGTCTGTGTTAACTCTCGTACAAATCTCTACCCAAAAATTAGAAGCCTGATAAAATGGACCACCAAATTTGTAAACAGTAAATATCCTCCTCAGGTTTAAAAGTTTAAGCCAGGCGTTGGTGGCGCACACCTTTAATCCCAGCACTTGGGAGGCAGAGGCAGATGGATCTCTGTGAGTTCAAGTCCAGCGTGCTCTAGAGAGCTAGTTCCAGGACAGGCTCCAAAGCTACAGAGAAACCCTATCTCAAAAACAAAAAAAAAAAAAAAAAAAAAAAAAAAGTTTAGTCATGTCCTAGTGTTTATTAAGGAGTTTACAATAGCATGAACAATGTTTGCCCATTCCTTATGAACTTTGTGTGTGAACAAAATGGTATTACAATGATATGTAAAGAAAAACCTACGCATCTTTTTTATAGGTATCTGAGATGTTATTATTGGGCAGTTCGATCTTTAATTACTATTGGGGGCCTTCCAGAGCCACAGACTTCATTTGAAATTCTTTTTCAACTCTTGAATTTTATTTCTGGAGTTTTTGTGTTCTCCAGCTTAATTGGTCAGGTAAGCACACAATGAATCCCTGATACAAAATATGTCCATTTTTAAGAGGCTAATAAATATCTATAAATTTTATGGAGGAAATATTGAAATCTATGGTTCTTTTTCCCATTCTTCCTTCTTTTACTACCTTTCACAGATTTAATAGTGTGGAATAGAATGTGCTTAAACCAACATTACAACATTGACTTGTTTTTTCATTTTGAGACACTCTTGACATGTAGTCTAGGCTAGCCTCAAACTCATGGTCCTCTTTCCTCTCACTGAAGAAAGAATTCACATTCTAAGCACTGGAATTATATATCCATGCCAGCAAACCCAGATATTTTTCATTTTTAGCCATTAAATCTTCCAGGAAACCTGCTGGCCAAGTTTGCTAGGATATAAACCCTTTGAATTTACAGTAAAACCATTATAATTCATAATATGTAGCAAAGTCTAGAATCTGAGCCAGGTATTTCATGGAGCATATATTGTTGCACAGCATATGGCAAAGCACACAATGCAAAGTGGGCCTGTGACATGCGAGAACCAAGGAGGTAGTAAAATTATTCAGTACAACATGGGCAAGTCCTACCAGAGACACCTCAGACTCATTAATTTTTGCTCATTATATGTTATGAGTAGTTTTTCCCTTCTGGCCCCAAATAACACAGAGACACTGTATTAGATATAAAGCTGTAGGGCAGTTACTAGTTTCTTATCGGCTAGCTCTGTCTCATTTATTAACCCATTTCTATTAATTTAAGTACTTCCACATGGTCTTATCTTACCGGAGAGAGAGGCTGGCGTTTTTCTCTCTCCGTCCCCCATCTTGGATCTTCCTCTCTACTACTTTCTCTCTCCTCCTTGTCTCCTAGTCCTGTCTATCTTGCTTTCCTATTGGCCAACAGTGCTTTATTCATTAACCAATACAAGAAACATATTTACAAAATGACATCTCCCATCAATTATGCATTCAGAAACCTTTGATTGTTTCCAGTTTTTTGCAGCCCCCACATTCAGTTATGCAACTACATACAATGCATGATTTAAGACACTGAGTACTATATCACAAAAATCAATAAACCCACTACAAAAACTATTGATTCTTAACTTGCTTACAGTAGTATGAATAAAATTCATTCTATAACAATAAGAACTACTATCCATGATATTTGATACTGCTCAAAAATTGTCAGAAATCAAATAATGCATTTATTAATGTTAAGTGTCTGCTAAACATGGCAAGTGTCAGAGGACTTTATAAGCCCTCTATTTTTCAGAAAAGAGAAGCCTCTCAGGTTACATGGAGCAGATATAAGAGAGGCATTTTCAAGAGCCAAGTAGTATTCAGTTAACCACAACAGGCAGTTAAGTTAATCAGAGTTAGTTATGGAAATATGTCATTGGTAAAACATGGAATGTGTTTGAGATCCAGAAGGCAATGATGGGGCAAATGATCTTTAGAAACAAGTGCAAGAATAAAATATTTTAAAGATTTTGAATGCTAAATTTGAGTTTTACCTTGACAACAATGGGAAGCAGTCTAGGGAGGGTATTGAACATGGAGATTCAAAGTTCATTATAATATGAACCAGTGTTTTTAAATGTGTTTTATTACTACTTGGGTGTGGCAAGTCTAAGAGATCAAGGACAATTGCTACTGAAAGGATTAATTTGCTATGCTCACAGGTCTGAAAAGGAGGAAGCATGATACAACATGAGGATGTTGAGCAAAACATGTAATTACTGGGAGGAGGGTGCAGAGTTGCATCTGATTAACCATTAAGGTCAGCTAATTTGAATAACTTCATCAGGCTTTGAGATGTCAGTCTATTGGTCTGGTACCTAGGACTGTCATGTACAACAGATCGTGTCTTAAATGTGGGGAGAGACTATGCAAGGGCTATATAACGGGTTAGTTAATTTGAATTATAAAAAGCACTCTCAGAAGAATTGAGTCACTATCTCTCAGAAATTGGCTATAGACGTAAAAAGCAGTCAAGGCTGTAGGTCAGCAAGCCTCCAAATACAAATACATAAAAGTATAGAAAATAGATAGGTAGTTAATCTCAATGCACAGGGGCATGTCAACTTCAGCTTAGACATGTTAACAAACTATACAGGGAAGTTAGAACAACAACTTCACTTTAAAAAAACATTTAGGTATTGGAAAATATTGAAATATTTGAAATACTGAAATTTTGGAACCTCAAGAAGATAATATTATAAGGGTAAATTATCATAGCAATGGATGGAGACAATTATTAATAGTTGAAATATAAAGCTAGCTGGATAAATTTTCAATTTTAATTAAATGGAATGAAATACCAAAAAAACACATTATGTCATAATATATCATAAAATCAGTGTGTGGTGCATTCATTGTTTTCTCATTTTTATGGATGAGGAGACTTTAAAGAGATTAAGAGTTTGGTCAGGGTGTAATATCTGTCATACACCTTTAATCTCACCACAAGAGAGGCTGAGTCAGGAAGATGCCAGTGAGCTCAAGGCCAGCCTGATCTACATAGTGAGTTCCAGGACAGCCAGAGGCTCTGTCTCAAAAAACAGAAACAGATTAAGAGGGATTGCAATTCATACTGTCTTAAAATAGAGTGGTATGTGAAAAAATGGATGGTCAAAGTAAAATCTAACACACATTGAGCCCTTGGTGTGTGCAAATCAATTTTCAAAAGACTAGAAAATTATGTATCTGTCCTGAAATGTCAGGACTTGGGAAGCAGAAGCAAGAGAAGGTAAAAGTTCAAAGCCACCCAGTCTACGTAGCAAATTCCAATTCAGCCAGGACTGCATTGCTGGATTCTGCCTCAAAAATCAATAAAGAGGAAAAAGGGGAAATGATGTCTGCCCAGCAGAGTGAGAGTCCCTCACCACTGAATGTTTCCCTTGGACTGCCACAGCTGTACCACTTGAGAAAGTCTGAACTCAGACTCTACTTTAGACCAACTGAACCACAACAGGCATCCCAATAGCTCTTGTGGTGATTCTTACACATGTGATAATCTAATAAGTGTAGCACACCTGCCTTTCAATTGGATTTGAAACACAAGAAACACCTGCACAAGAAACACCAGAAACTGTGGTGGTGCTAAAGTACATGAGAGAGTAAAGCTGGAGATAAAGACTTCCACCTTAAGCTCTCGGAGGGAATAAAAAATGCTAGGAAGCAAACAGAAACAAAAGTAAGACAACTTGCAATAAAATCTCCATGTTTCAAAACCCATGCATATGATCATACCAGTGACTGTGCCTCAAAATTAACTATCATTCTTCATGCTGAATTCTACTGTCTAGTAAAACTTACAAATCCTCTCATTGTCTAACTCGCCAACCATGACATCCTTTTGTAGACTGGAACTCGATGTGGAATGCATATTGTCCTCATTCCCCTCATCAGTGAAACCCAACACTGCTGAAGTACAGTACATAATACGTTCAGATAAATACACTCAACATCATTTAAACCCACCTAAATGTGTCCTTGATTCCAGAGAATACCCTGGTTAAATCTCTCAACCCAACCTCTAATAAATATATGTCTGACAGTCTTGGAGAACTGGATAATGTGGCACATGAACAAAGAAAGAGAAGATCAAGGAACTGAGACTGTAGAATAGTTGGAGAGCCATTGAAGAATAAAAGTCTCTGAAATGTGGCTGTAAAGGAATTTTCTGGATAGCTCTTAGCAAATACTTTTGCGGAAAAAAAATAGATTCAATTATTTCTAAAACTGTAAACTGAGGAAGCATCACTGTGAAAGATATTTGAGATATACTTTAAAAATCATAATAATAAAAAGTAGGGTTTTTTCCCATAAGCAGAAAAGGCTACACAGCTACTAGAATGAATGAGCAAAGTATTAGTGTGAAAGTGAAGTCTGGCTTTCCGCCCATAATAAACCCACAGTCAAAGCAAATTTATAACCACTTGCTCCTCTCTATGTGAGAGGAAGAGCCAAGCAATATATCTTTTTTGTGCTGAGACCTTAAAGATCAGCTTTTAACCTAGAGTGGGTTTTTATGGCTGAGTTATAAACATTCGAGAACTAAACCTGACAGTTCCTTGAGGATTGTCACAGTGCAGACAACGCTTCAGTAATTTCAGCACATTTCAACTTCTACTGAATACTGTGCCTTGAACGTGATAAGATTTGATTTTATCTGTATAAACAACATGAAAGGAAGAACAGAGGCTAAAATTGCATGATGAGTTGAGCCTATAGAGCCAGCCACCCTGGCTGATCAGTGAAGGGTACTTTCATAGAGAGACTTGTCAAAATCCAACTAGCCATTCTTCTGCAGGATAATTGCTCCACTCTCATTACACTTCCCTTGCATCTGTGCAGGGATTATAATGGCCTTAAAATGTCAACTCTCATTTTCATGATAATATATAGCTCTGTGACGATTGTGTGCATTCACCTGCGTTATGAAACCAAATCCTCACAAAAATCTCACATGGTTGATATAATGGGCCTTATTATTGTCAGTGAGATAATCTAATTTCCAACATTTTACTAGGAGCCAATGTCAGGTTGTTAAAGTCAGACAATCATGGAAATAGGAGGGGGTGTTGTGTAAGAACAAGCAATTCAGATGAAATTTGTCTCCGGGGTGTGAATGACCATGTTTATGCTTTTAGATGCGTGATGTTATTGGAGCAGCAACAGCCAATCAGCACAACTTCCATGTCTGCATGGACCATATCAATAACTACATGAAAAAATACTCCATCCCTCAGAGTGTGCAATATCGAGTTCGGACGTGGCTGGAATATACATGGACCTCTCAGAGAATACTAGGTGAGCACAACAAATGATGGTTACATTACTTTAAACCATATTACACAATAAAAATTATGTGAGGTAAAAGAGGAGATCTTTGGATTTGAATAACAATTTGAAAAACAAATGATCTCTCAGATATTAATTTAATATGAATAATTTTTCTTAAATGTGGATACATATTTGAAGGCAAATCTTGGAATAAAAAGGTTAAATTTTACTCAGTGCCTAACAGATGCTAGGAATACACAATTTCTCACATTATTCACACACACACACACACACACACACACACACACACACGGGGGGGGGGGAAATTAGGTGTCATTGACCCCTTTTCAGAAGCAAGAATATAGCAGAGGCCCTAAGTGCAAACTTTGGCCAAGAACTCTTAACTGGAACTGAGCCCTGAATCTGCCCTCCAAACTCGTGATCTGTCTGTGACAGCTTCTCTCCCTGGGAGCACAGTATGCAAAAAAAAAGCACAAGCTTCCAGGTCATTTTCATTGCACAGCATGGTTCTCAGTTAGTTCTAAGAGACCATTATTTATCAGTGTTGTCTGCTCTGCAACTACAAAATTGGAGCTCAAAAAATAATTTTTACTAAAGCATATAAAGCAAGTTATGGGCCAGTTGACAATAAATTAAACTGTTAGTTTCTTTTATAAAATAATAAGAATTAATATTACTGAGATGTCAACTTCCTTTAGTGGAAATATAAGGTTCTCAAATCACAATTTTTCCTCAGAGAAGAAAGGGTCTACTGGTTCTGGCCACAGGACTTTCTTCTACCAATCTGGCACTGAGAAGAAACTACAATTTCCCAGAAAGATCAGAGCACCATGTCCCTTCTTTTTAGTCCAAAGATACCCATGAGAGCAATTCTAACAGGAAAAAAAGAAATACCACAAAGTGTGGCTCCTCGTAGCAGCTACAGACACTGACTCAACTCTGGCCTAGAGAATAACAAGAGACAAACAGCCCTCAGAAATAAGAAGCTGTACTTTAAAGACTAACTTATTTTAGATTGTGTGTATGTGTGAGGACCTGCATGTATTTATGTGCACTGCATGCATGCCTGATGCCTACAAAGGCCAGAACATGGCTTCAAATCCCCCAAAACTGGAGTTACAGATAGTTATGAGTTACCATTTAGATACGGAACTGAGTCCAGGTCTCTGCAAGAACAGCAAGTGCCCTTTATCACTGAGTCTTCTCTCTACCTCCCAAGCTATGTTTTTATATGAAAGATGGCATGGAATCCTTTGGAGACAGAGGTACGTGAGTCTCTGTGAGTTGAAGGCTAGCTACTCCACACTGGAAGTTCCAGGCCAGTCAAGACTATATAGTGAGACTGTCTCAAAAAAAGCAAATAATTTTTTTAAACAAAACATCCAAGATAATGCATCCTCATGAACCCTGAGCATATTTGATCTTAAGAATGGGCAATTTTTTAATTAATTTACTGTCAATCTGCAGGTCCATCATTTAAATACATATAGGAAAAATCCATAATGTATTCAGATTCATTATTGGGTTTATAAGCAACCAAGCAACAATAATTTAAATTTCTTCATTAGATTATGTTCCCAGCTGAGATTCCTACTAATTTGTTCAATCCAGCAAGTCTCTGAGTTTAAATTATTTTGGGTTTTTTTTGTTTTGTTTTGTTTTTTTCTATTCTGTCTGCAAAGTAGAAATGAACATCTGGCCATAGGATTGTTATAAAAGTTAAATAAGATCATGGACAAGACAGACCTCCATATGCCTTCAAACACCATCTACCACTCATTGCCATTTGTCATCCTTAGGCTGACAGGGCTGGCAGAAACAAGAGCTAGATCCTTTTCCTACCTCAGCCTGTTCACTAACCTTTGTCCCATAGCCATTAAATGTAACATCTTAAAGTTTCAAAAATAATGTTCTGGAATATTCAGTATGCCATTTGTAGTTAAAATACTTCATTCTGTCGGGCTGGAGAGATAGCTCAATGATTAAGAGCACTAGCTACTTTTCCAGAGGTCCTGAGTTCAATTCCTAGCAACCACATGGTAACTCACAACTATCTATAGTGGAATCTGATTCCCTTTTCTGGCATAAAGTTGTACTTGCAGATAGACCAGTCATATACATAAAACAAATAAACAAATATTTATACTTCATTGCTCTCATGAGCAAAATAGCATGATTGTGATATATGAAGGGCTGGGTTTGGTGGAATTACCTGTAATTCCAGCACTTGGGAGGACCCAGCAGGAAGTTTTCTATGAGTTCAAGGCCAACCTGGGCTTCACTACAAGACCTTGTCTCTCAAAACAAGGACACATCTGAAGCTCCAGTGCAATGAAGATGAAGGAGGATGGTCACTAGAACCCATTGGCCAACTAATCTAGACAGTAAGTTCCAAGGTCAGTAAGAGCCCCTATCTCAAAAACCAGAGTGAAGAGTAATCAAGGAAGACATCAATATCCACATTTAGCCTCTACACAAGCATACATGGCACATGTGCACACATAAATTAAAGACACAGTTGTGCATGAACACATACATACAGTCTTGATGGTAGGCATGTAGCTATTCATAATAAAGATACTGAATTTAAGATATGCTTATTTATAAAACATTTGCATTTTTGTTATTTTCACTTTCATTATTTTTCTACTTACTCTTTGATGAATTGTTTTACTAATTATTCTACTTTTGGTCCATGTGTTTATTTTTACAAAGATGAGTCCAACTTGTTTGAGAGCCTACCAACAGCAATGCGATTATCTCTTGCCATTGACACAAACTTCAGCATCATCAACCAAGTGGAGTTGTTCAAGGCAAGTACTTTTATAATAGAAAAATACAATATTAATTTATTGTAAAAATCTAAGTTCTCACTATATATGGAATTTGTGGGGGTTTTCTTTTTAGTTTTTATTACATTTTATTAATGTATTTGTTTGGTGTGCACATGTGGGAGATTTGGAGGGACACACATGTGCCAAGGTGTATATGTGGCGATCAGAGGGAAATTTACAAGAGTCAGTGGCTTCAGAAGGCAAACTGAGGTGAACATAGTTGGCAGCAGGTGCTTTTACCTCCTGAGTCATCTCACTGTTCTGCCTTATGTTCTAACAAAGTCAAAATAACCTGTATAGTTTACAAAAATCAAAAAGATTATGGGTCCCTGCTCAACAGACAACTTGCTCTTTAGAAGCCTCTCTGTTCTAATTAGTGTCAAAGAAGAGTTCTTCAGCCAAGTTCTTCAGAATATTCGTGCATAAATTTAAATTTAATTAAATTCCACTGCTCTGTCTTTGTTAACACGTGCATCACCTTCCATTTATGATTGTGCCTTAGTAATGTATTATGAATCAAGTTCCCAAGATCAGCTCTGCATTGGCCTATTCATGTAACTATTACTAATGCTTTAGAATTAGCTTCTTTTTTCTTTAAGGAAAAGTCTTACAGTATAACACTAGTCAGCGTAGAATCTGCAACAATAAAAATAAACCAATTTTAGGATGGTTTGAATGATGGTGTCACCATCAAAATTCATACTGAAATTCAATTTCTATATTAAGAGGTATGGCCTAGAGCTAGTGACTGAGTCATAAAATTCTATCTTTTTGCTATATGTCTTTTTCTAGGGAGGCATGAATGTTTATTCACTCCAGACAGGGCAATGATGACTGACAAAATGATTCTGCCCAAATATAGCCTAGGAAACCAATGAGTTTGTAGGATTTGCTTGCACAAGCATAGGTAAGGAGTTACCTGCAGAAGCACAGGTCACTCAATAGCAGCTGCATGACAAGAAAGTCTGCCCCAGCATCAGTGATGACTCCCAAAAGCTGAATCTCTGAAGTTCCCTGCCCAATGTCTAAGCAGCTCTTCTTCCCAACCAACTGCTTCCTGCTTATATAACCTTGCAGACAGGCTTTCTGAGCGTCATTGGTCTTACAAGTTCTGCGAGCCTCATAAGTTTCATTACCTTCTTTTTTGAGTACCCTCCTCACTCAAGGAGGAACTGTTGGAATTTGCACAAACAGACTAAGATCTATTTGTTTGGAGTGATAAACTCCTGCATGGAAATGCCACATAAACAATTTCATTTCCTAACCTTGTGTTCCTGTGAGACATTCAAGTTAGAACAATAATTTAGACCTGTCCATATATTGATGTCTTTTAAGCATGATATCAATGCGAACACTGAATTCTAGCAAGGACAGAAAATAAAATGTAATCCATGCAGAAGCATATATCTTGAAATACAAAATTACTACCTCTTGTCAGAAGATGAAAGAATAGAAGCGGTGTGGTGAGAGTCCTAGGCAGAGTTACTCCAAAGCCCAGCCCAACCACTGACTGACTCTGTATGTTACTAGAAGCAGGCCTATATCAAGGACTCTTGACTGTGGTCATCTCTAGTTTTACATAAGGATTATGGAAAAATTATAAAGAGTGTGATGATATCCAAGTTGCCAGATGACACATAACAGAAAAGAATTGTGATGACTTTAAATTATATTTTTTTTCAATTAAACATTTTAAGCAATGAACAAAGCCAAAATTGACAGCAACAAGTGGAAAAGTAAAATTTAGAACTTACAAATCAAATTAAATATTTCAAATGTTAAAAAGCACACTAGTTCTTTAAGAATTCTTTTTATATCTAAAATGTTTACTGACTTCAAACTCTTGTCAAATCACAGGATTATAGATGAGATTATCCTAAATTTTTACCTATATAGATTTTGTGGTTTACTTAAACTACATGAAGTCTAACATATCAGGTCATAAATAATAAGTTTTAAGAGTGACACTGAATTTGAAACTTCAGCTATAAAGAGCATGAATTGAGGAGTAGGGCAACTGATATGACAGAAACCTCATCAACAGTTGCTTCTACAGGGGAGTCAGGGATGAACATATCAAACAGGAATGTGTCTATAGTACAAAGCACAGTTTCTGACAGAGAACAGTTGTGAGACTTCTCTCCCATATTAATTAAGCAGTTAACAGTTGTTGTAGGGAGGAAGGCAACTTAGAGGAGATACAGTTGACTCGGTGTAGCAACTCACCTAGTGCTCCCTAAGTAGCATAATTAAATTCTGGACAAAAGTGGGGTTGTTGTCATTATTGTTCATACTGCTGCTGCTGCTGCTGGTGGTGGTGGTGATAGTGGTGGTGGTGGTTGAACTAGCATCCCACTGTATAACCCTTCTGGCTTAGAACTCAACATATAGACTAAGCTAGCCTTAAACTGGTGGAGATCCATGGGGCTGTTTCATTTGATCTTTAATTCTAGAACAAATAGAAACAGACTGCAGTGTTATATAGCAGTTTCCTCCAAAATAAACCATGTCATCTTAGAGGGAAGATCATTAAGACCCAAGATGTTCTAAATGGAGATGAAACATTGCATCCTTCAGGGTAACTGTTTAAATCCAGAATGTCATAAACAGAAGTTTCTTAATACTCGGAAAGTAAAAATTAAAAAGCTTCAAGAATTTCTTTAAATTGATCAGCTGTGCTAGAGCCCCTCCCTTAAGCTTATATAAGCAATAAGGACTCGTAAGCTGTGCAACTTTGAAGAAACTCAGACAAGTTGAGCTTCCTAGACAGGGATGCTCCAAACTGCTTAGAATAATATTCTCAAACCTCTCCAGATACCCAGATGCCAGCAGGCTGTGAAGTGTGCTCCAGGTTTCCAACTTTCATGAGCTGTCATGCGTGCAGGGGTGGGCTTTAATGATGTAGCTGTCTTTTAGTCATTTCTGTTCCTGTGAGTAACTCACTCACATTTTTGTAAGTAACCCTAATAAAACTCATTGATTCACCAAGTTGAAGTTTGGTGGTGGTATCTGAACTGCAGTCTGCCATTTGATTCCCTATCTGGGGTGAATAGATGTTTATTCATATCTCTGCAGAAACATATAGAAAAGTTTTTTAATTACAATAGTTATTAATTCCAAAGAATGCTAAGTTACTATAAGGTAACTTTGCAGAGAGGTCCCTCATAATCTTTCAGTTCCAAAAATACTATCACCCTACCCATTGGTTTACCAAATCCTTGCATGTTCCCCAAGCACTCAGATCTATTTGGAATGAGATTGTCAAAGATAAGAATGAAGCCATTATTTACCCTGGATCTTAATGTAGATATATGTGTCTCCACAAAAATACAAATATCTGCCACTTACTCGGCACCTACCTTGTGGCACCATGTAGCAACTTCATTATTTCTTTCAGGAACTCTCTAGTTGTGGAATGAATCAGACTTTCCAGTTTCAAAAGTTGAAGATGTAACCTCTTGACCTCAGCAAATGATCACACTTAGAGATAAGACCATTAAAGGGCTGATTAAGCTAAAGGGAGTCAGTAATCCTGTGTGACTTCTTAACAAGAAACAGAAATGTGGAATATAAAGAAAGACACCAGGAGAGACATGAGAAGGATGAACATTTCAGACAGTGGAAAGACAGCCATCTACAAAACAGGGAGAGAGGGAACCAAAGATACCAAACCTGCAGACATGACCATGAACGTCTAGCATCCAGAACTCTCAGGACAGGGTTTTTTCTTCTTCAAACCACATAATCTGTCATATTTTGTTATGGTAACTATAGCAAACTAATAGACCCTTTTTTGTTGAAAATAGGTTCTTTTCTATTACAATATATTTGGAATATAGTTCCCCTCCCTCTGCTCTTCCTAGTTCCTCTCCATACCCACCTACTCCCTTTCTGTCTCTCATTAGAAAAGGACAAGCCTCTGAGATAACAACCAAACATGACAATATAAAATGCTATAAGGTGAAGCAAAAATGTTCATATAAAAGTTGGCCACACCAACCCAAAAGGGGGAAAAAGTCTTAAGAGCAGGAAATAGAGTCAGAGACCCACTCATTCTCAAAGTCATGAGTCCCATAAAAAATAACAAGCTAATAGCATTAGTATGCACACAGAGGAAATTATGTACCCTGTGTAGGCCCTTTGCTTGCTGCTTCAATTTCTGTGAGCTCATATATGCTTTGTTTTGTTGATTCAGAGGGAAATCCTAGTGTCTTCCATCCCCTCAGACTCTTACAATCTTTCTGCCTCCTCTGACTCAGGATAGCCTGAGCTTAGAAGGGAGGAGTTTGATGAGGACCTCCATTTATACTTTCTCCACATAATATCTGGCTGAGGATCTCAACATCTGTTCTCCTCTGCTGCTGGAGGAAGCCTCCCTGGTGATAACCAGATAAGGAACTATCTATGAGTATAGTGGAATAGCATTAAGAATAATTTTTTTTTAATCAGTTAGGTTTGGATTTACCCTTGGTCTCTAGGTTATGTAGTCTCTGGTTCCTGGTTACCCAAGCAGTCAGTTTGCAGAGAGTAACCCTATGTTTTTGCATCAGCCAGGATTGTTTATGGGACTTCCTAAAACTGAAACGTTCCTATCAAGCTAAGGACATGGTCAACAAGATAAAACAGCTTCCTACAGAGTGGGGAAAGAGCTTCACCAAGCCTGCATCTGACAGAGAGCTGATCTCCAAAATATACAAAGAACTCAAGAAACTAGACATCAACCTACCAAATAATCCAATTTTAAAAATAGAGTACATACCTAAACAGAATTCTCAACAGAACCTCTGCCCCAAATGATATGACAGACTTTGATGACTCCCCATGGAAGGCTTCACCCTTGCTGGGGAACAGAATGGGAATTTGAGGGGGAACAAGGGAGGAATGGAGGATGTGGGAACAGGTATTAATATGTAAAACAAGCTTGTTTCTAATTTAAATAAAAAATTATAAAATTATACATACTAGGAGTCCTTATTAGG